CATAACAGGTACAAGGTCTTGGGTTCGATCCCCAGCATGGCTACAAACAAACAAAAAACTGATTGGTTACATTCACGGATGTCCACTTTATTATGAGATGTGATTAATGTTTAAATGAAAAATGTTTAAATTTTTAAAATTTCTTACAGTAAAAGTCGTTACATTGCGTATAATCTTCTTGATGATTTGCTGCATTGTTTGCTAGTATCTTATTGAGAAATTTTACATCTATATTCAATTTCTTTGCATTTACTTAAGCATGTTCTATGAGCTAGTATGTGATCTATTTTGCAGAACATCCCACGGGCAGCTGAGAAAAATATGTATTCTGATATTGTGGGGTGGAACACTGTAGACAGCTACTAAGTCCATTTGTTCAAAAGTTTGGTTCAGTTCTGGTACGATTTTTTGTCTAGTTGATCTACTTGTGACAATGGGGTATAGAGGTCCCCCAATACAACTGTATTAGTGCTTATTTGATTTTTCCTGTCCATTAGTATTTGTTTTACACAGTTGGGTGTGCTGGTATTTGGTGCATATGTATTTATGATTGTTATCCCTCTTAGATTGTTCCCTTTACAAGGATGGAGTGACCTTGGTGTGTCTTAATCAGTCTTGGCTTGAAATCCGTTTTGTCTGCAAATAGAACAGTTACCCCTGCTTTTTTCTGGGTACCTGTCACATGCAGTATTGTTTTTCATCCTGACTCTGAGTTCATGAATTTCTTTTTCAATCAAATGTGTTTCGTGCATGCAGCAAATTTCTGGGTCTTGCTTCTTGATTCATTCTGCCAGTGTTTCTTTCGAATGGTGAACTGAGACCATTTACATTAATGGTAATAACTGATACATACTGATTTATCCTTGACATGTTATCTTCCTGTTGTTGGTCCACCGCCCGCCCCCCTTTTATTTAAGTACTTGCCTTGACAGGTAACTTCATTCTGTTGGGGTTCATGGAACTGCAGTCCTTGTTATCTCTAGAATCTCCTTCAGGACATTTTGGAGTGCTGGTTTGGTGGTCACGAATTTCTTCAAGTGTTGTCATGGAAGTATTTCTCCATTAATTTTGAAAGATAGTTTTATGGGGTACATTAATATCAGTTGGAAGTTGTTTTCTTTTAGGGCTTGAAATACATTCACACCAAGCTCTCTTTGACTTGAGGGTTTTGTTGAGAAGTGATTCTGTGATTCTGATGGTCTTTCTTTTATAGGTGATTTGTTTTTCTCTAACAACTTTTAATGTTCTGTTCTGTTAAATTTCTGCAATCTTGAGTTCTACGCCTTGGTGAAGATCTATTTTTGATCATAGCTAATTGGAGTTTTACATGCCTCACTTCTCTATATGTCAAATTCTTTTTCCATGCCTGGGAAGTTTTCTGCCATTACTTCTGTGAACAGGGTTTTTTTTTGTCATTTGTGCTATCTCCTGTTTTTTCAATGACTCTGATCAATCTTTTGCTATTCTTCTTTGCCTCATCTAGTAGCTGATTTTTGTGGTCCCTTGGTACTGGGGATCGAACTCAGGACCTTGTGCTTGCCAGGCCCTTGCTATTTTTAAAAAATCTTGCTTCTCATAATTGCTGATTACAATCCTGTCTTCTATATCTGATATTCTGTCCTCACGTTGGCTCGTTCTGCTGCATATACTTTCAATGCAATTTTTAATCTCCCAGATACTGGTTTGAATGTTTTTTGGATTCCATTTCTTTCCTATGTTGGGTGTTCATGGTTTCCATCATTTCCCTAAGCTCCTCTATTTTTAAATCTGTATCTGATCTAGAGTCATTAACCAAGTCTTTCATTATGATCACCAACTCTGTAGTTATCTAAGTAATTATTTCTGATTTGATTTTTTTTCTAGAGCTTCATTCATCTGCTTTGTTACTTCTGCTACCACTTCAGAGTCCAGGTGGGTGGCTTTTGAACTGTTCCACCTCACTGCCCCCTGGGTTTCTTTGGTGAGCTGGAAGTCTGGGGATGCATTTTGCTTAAGTGTCATGTTTTATACACACACACACAGAGACACACAAAATGTTGATAGGGCTGATGCTTGTAAACTGCTTACAGCAGGTAGCTTTATTGCTACTAAGAACCCTTAGAAAATGACTACTTTTCACAGATGTCTTCCAGGTGTAGCTGGCTTTTGGGTTTTGAGTCTGTTACAAGATCCTAGTTCTGCAATTTATTGTAGATGACAAATTGTTGTCTATTTGGCTTAACCCTTAGTTCACTGGCACTGACCTATAGTACTGTTTATGACCCTTAGGCAATCTGTCTTGGCGTACCAGGAAGAACAACTAATTAGCAGTCATGTCGCCTTGACTAAGTAGTACAATCAACAATAACTATAGCATCAAACACAGCCTAGAAAATGACAAATTGTGGTAACTCCTGATTTGCTACCTTTAACCTTATGATGTATGTTTATGGGTAACAAAATTGAAAACAAACCAGGAAATTGTATACAGTAAATATCCCCTCAATATGGCTATTTAACTATGAGGGGAGAAAATTTAAAAGGGGTTCGGGGCAAAAAATAGAGAGAAAAAGAGGAAGAGATCAGAAGACTGGAGGACAGGGCCAGGGATATAGCTCAACGGCACAGCACCAGCCTGGCAAGCACAAGATCCTGAGTTCGAACCCTGAAGACTGGAGGACAAAGGAAGATAATGGGAACTTTGGGAAACTGGTAAAGAAGACAGGAGGGAAAGAGAGAGGGAAGAAATATACACAAGAACAGAACAACAAAAAACCTAGAAGCAATGTTCACACTCATATAAAAACAAGAACAAACAATTAAGAAAACAAACACAGGAAAAAAAATAAGAGAATAAGAAGAATAAAATGTCCACTTCAAGGTGTGTCTCTGCTGTCACTGGTAGACAAAGTGGGCAGAGAGAGCCCAGATCCATGTTGATTAATCCAAACAAGACAGCCAGCTGTGGATTTAGGGTGGGGTAGTGGATAATCCCAGCAAGTCTGCACCTTTACTTCTGAAGCTCAGACTGGTTTCTGGCTGTGAGGTTGGAACCTGATTTGTTAAGCCTGAAACATTCTGTGTGCCTCCTGCCGGCTTGAACTTGGCTCCTTGATCGTCTGCTGACTTGATCTCAGTTCTGCCTCACCCTGATGGAGCCAGCTTGCAGCTGCTCTGAGTTCCGAGGTCAGCTGGCCCCTCTGCAAGATGGCAACTGGCCAACTGCCCTCTCCTGGAGGATTTCTGAATCTGAATAACTCACCAGCCACTGCAGTCTGCTGCATCCACTGCTCAGTTCCACGGGTGCGGTTCTCTGTGGAGGCCTCTGGGGTTGCCAATAGTCACTGTGTGTCTGTAGGTTTGAGACCCCCTCCCATGCAGTGAGTCAGAGCTCAGGGATAAAGTGCAACTTGCCACCTCCTTCTTTGTTGAAGTCTCTCTCTTCACTCTTTGTGGGCTTCAATCCTCCCTTCACATCCTGAGTCCCCGGGACCCACTTTCCTCCTTGTCTTTCTCATGTTGCTATATTAGAGCATCTGGACACCAAATCTTGGAGAGGCTGTTTCTCTGCAGTTTACCACTCTGCCATCTTCCCAGAAGTCCACGTTGACATTAATGCCCCTCAAAATACTCCCTTTTGATTCAAACACACTTATCCCATCATTCTTGCCACTTTCAGAAGTTCTGTTAAGTCCTCTATCATGTCTTTAATTGCGCTGTCGCGGCCGTTTCATCCTTAAATGATCCAAAAGAAAAATTTTTTTTTTTTTGGTTTTTGAGACAGGGTCTCACCATGTAGCCCAGGCTGGCCTCAAACCCACTCTGTAACCCAGACTGGCCTCAACCTTGCAGCAATCCTCCTGCCTCAGCCTCCCAAGTGCTGGAATTACAGGCATGCACCACCACGCCTAGCACAAAATGTTTACTTTTCAAGGTCATGTGACTGTGAAAAAGCCAGAAGTTGCACAATGCCAGGTCTGGTCAGTAAGGTGGGTAAGGACACACTGTAAAGTTTTTTTGATGGCATGCAACAAGATACACGGTATTTTTTATCACACCTTATATACAGATTACGTTTTCTCTGAGAAAACATTTCTTTGGTAATAAAACAAACTTCACTGGGCTGGGGATTTAGCTCAGTGGTTCTGCCGCCTGCTTCGCAAGCATAAGGTCCTGAATTCGATCCCCAGTACCAAAAAAAAAGAAACAAAAATAAATAAATAAATAAATAAATAAAAATAAAATAAACTTCAAGAAAAAGCCAGGTTTGGTGGTGTATACTTGAAATCCTAGTTCCTTTAGAGGCTGAGGTACAAGGGTCTCAAGTTTGAGGACAGCCCAAGCAATTCAGCTAGATCCTGCCTGTCTCAAAAATAAAAAAAATAAAGAAGGGCTAGGAATGTAGCTCTGTGTAGTGTCCCTGCATTCCATTCCAGTACCACGCACGCGTGCACCTGCACATACACACACATAGTGCTCTTCTGTACTCTTTCTTCATTTGATACAATGCAATTTGGCTCTTCTATGATTACTGTTCAGAAAATGACCTTTTTATGGTGCTGGGGGATGAACCTACAGCTTTGTGTATGTTAGGCACTGAGCTGTACCACTGGAACATCTGAACATGAATTTTTTCTGTGGTGTTTTTGTTTGTTTTTTTTCGTACTAGGGATTGAACTCGGGTCCTTGTGCTTGTGCAGCAGGCGGCGAAACCACTGAGCTAAAATCCCCTGAAAATGCATTTTTTTTGGTATCGAGGATTGAACTTGGGACCTTGTACTTGCGCGGCAGGAGCTGGAACCACTGAGCTAAATCCCTGGGTGACCATGAATTTTTTGACAGCTATTATTTTAGCATGTAACGATAGTAATTTTTATCTAATTCTATTTTGTTGGATATCCCACTATTAACAGTGATGCACGTACATTTTCCTGTCTTTAAATACAATAAAGGAATTCATACCAGTGAGTAATTGCCAAAGAAAAACTGAAGGATAAAAGTACCAGGACAATTTTGAGTACCTGTTGCCTCCTCACTGTCTGGCCCAGATGACATGCCTAATCGCTCCTTCAGAGACTTGGAAACTTGAACTATAAAAGAAAAAAAAAAGTCAAAATCCAAAATCTGAACAGACACTTTATAGGTTAAGTATTTTTTTCAAAGTTTATAAATTAAGAGTATTTGTAATTTTTTTTTTTAATCTCATGGGCTTACAATTATTCTTCTCCCCAGAGGAGATTTACATGTTACAGATTCCCTAGAGCACTGTGGAAAGCTGGAAGCAGGGGTGACTTTAGTTCTGAAAAGTAAAATCTATTGAAATAATAATTCAGGGAAATAACTATTACTGTACATTACAAAATCTTTTGGTATCAAAAGGTTTTCTTCCCCTAAATTTATTTGAAACATGTTCATTAGTTATTGAGAATCTCTGGTATCACTGATACATAATGTGGAAGGGAATCTGGCAAAGAAAGAGAACTTCTAATTGTGCTGAGCATGTGAGAAAGTCCCTAAATGGGAACATCTACTGATCAAAGCCTCCTGGGCTGGAAAAAATGTACTAAGAAGTTACTTATTCTCAAGAAATTTTTTTTTTTCAAGAAATATTTAAGTACAAGAAAACAACAACATTTTTTTCTTTTTTGTTTGTTTTCTCAAAGACAGGGTCTTGCTTTGTGGTTTAGGCTGGCCTTGAACTCACTAAGTAGCCCAGGCTGACCTCGAACTCGTAGCAGTGATCCTTCTGTCTCAGCCTCCTGAGTACTGGGATTACAGGCGTACGTCACCATGCTCAGCATAACAACTTCTTATTCTTTAGTAATTAGTTTAACAGTACACCAGTTCAATCCCCAGTTCCCCCCCAAAAACCAGTTAGGGTTACACTGTTAACATACAAGGGGGAACAAAATTCAACCCTTGACTTCTTTCACATATACCATTCCTAACTCCCAAATCTCTCTCTCTTAATGTAGTCCACATTTCTCCAGATCAATTTCTAGAACACTAAATCTGTATCACTATCTCCATTTTTCCTGGGTTAATAGCTTGCTATCACTACCAGCACCTTGTCTCCTTAACTTTCTCCACACTGCAGGCAGAGTAACACTTGTGAATTGCAAATCTGATCCCCTAATGCCTGCTTATAACCTTTCAATGGCTTCTTACTATCCCAGGAAAAGCCCAAACTCTTTAAGATAGCTTCAAAAGTTCTCTAATGATCCAGTTCCTCCTGCTACTCTCTCTAGTCACCACGCCCTTCACCCCACTTCTGTGGTATAGTTACACAGTTCCTCAAGCACATCATACTTTCCCAGCTCTGGGACTCTGTATTATGGCCTCTTCAGGTTTAAACTTCAACAACACATCCTCTGTGAACCTTTCCCTGGCAGATGACAACACTACCCTTCCTACGTGTTCCCATACTACTGTGCTTTCTCTCTGTCACAGAATTTATCACAGAATGTATCTGTAAGTATTCTTAACTGCCATTACACTACAAGTTCCTAAGGTCTATCTTTATTCTGTTCAGTGGTGTCTAACCGAGAATCTAGCAGAATAAGTACTCAAATGTTTGTTGAATAAGTAACAGGCACCAAAACATAACCTAATTGGCCTGAACAACAGAATGATGAACCATACTTGTTAACATTACAGTAAGTGTCAGGATCACAGATACACAGAGTACTGAAAGACAGGTACCTTTCTTTGGTGTTTTGTCAGTATTCATTTCTGGAGCTTCAACTTTCTTCCCCAGCCTCTGTGCCAGGCTCCGCTTTAATGGGGGATCATTGTCACCACCTACAAATGGGGGTAACTTTGGTTTAAGATTTTAATCTTTAGCCAGGTCAAGAAATACAAGAAGAAAGAGGATAAGAAACAGGGAAATAAGACAGGGATAGGAGGGTAAAGGAAGTAAAAGGCTCAAGATGTGATATATATATATGTATACCTCACATTAATATGCTATGTATTGTAAACATATTCTAATACAAAATCTTGGCCAGGGATTTAGCTCAGTGGTGCCGCCTCCTGCCTCGTAAGCACAAGGTCCCAAGTTTGATCTCCAGTACCCACCCCCAGACATATAAGCAAAAACAAACAGAGAATAATTATGTGAGTTTTCTACATTTACATGGTATGTGTATGCACCAGCTGCCTTAGGAATTCAATATTAGAAAAGGAGTAAAAATATTCTAGAGTGGCAAGGGAGGGGCAAAAAATTAAAATGTACAAATGAATATGTACCAAATAACTAAAACTACAAATGGAGTTTCAAGTTCAGAATTAGAAATATGAAAAATGTTCACAAAAAATATCTTAACTGGCCAAATGCTGCATCATAAACTTTTAAGGTATTCTTGTGACATGAAGAATCTGAAAGCCATACAGCCTTTCTTCAATTCCAGGTAAGAAACTGAAGGTTTTCAACAGCCAGGCATGGTGGTGCACGCCTGTAATACCAGCACTCAGGAGGCTGAGGCATGTGGACTGCCTGAGTCTGAGGCCAGTCTGGGTTACACAGTGAGTTCAAGGCCAGTCTGCACAACATAGTGAGACCATGTCTCAAAAACCAAAAAAGGGCCTGCTGGGTGTGATGGCACACACCTGTAATCTTAGCACTTGGAAGGCTGAGGCAGGAGGCTCACCATGAGTTCAAGGCCAGCCTAAAGGATATACCCAGACCTTATCTCAAAAAACAAACAAACTCACTCTAAGGTTTTGAAAGATTGTCTATCTTACCCAATTACTAACTAATTACTGACAAGAGTCAAGACCTGAAGCAAGTGTCCTGACTCCAGTTAATCAGTTAGTCATGGTCATAATTAATTAAATTGTAGTGCTTAAAGTTTCTGTAATTTCAAATTTTTTAAGTACTTTCAGTCAGATATCCAGGGGGATTGGGAAACCAATATTGATGGGATTTATAAAAAGAGTTTGGGAAAGATAACCATGCTAATCTAGAACTAGCAAAAAACAAAAGATACACACACAACTATCTCACCTTCTGAAACTTTTCGTTTCCCCAGTCTCTCAGTAAGACTCAGTCTAACCAAGGGTTCTTCTCCTGAAATGTCAAAAATAAAATTTCTCTACCATTAGCCAAGTTTTCTACATCAGTAGCTACTAATAGGTACAAAGTATGTTCTGGCCCTAGTTTGAGTCCACCCAGGAATTGTCTTGAAAATCAGGTCTCAGTCTTAAGGAAGACTATCACATTTAAAAGGAAAAAAAAAGGCCAGGGATTTAGCTCAGTGGTTCTACCACCTGTCTGGCAAGTGCAAGGACCCGAGTTCAATCCCCGCTACCAAAACAAAACAAAACAACAAAAAACCCCACTTCAATAATTTAAACAGTCAAATGCATAGCCCAAACAAAAGCAATTCTACAGTATTAATTATTAACAGCAGCCAAACAGAAGACAAGATTGTGTTTTTAACCAACTGGTTATAAAGTCCATGCTGTAGTTTTCCTTATATACTCTGGTAGGTTATATAACTTGGTCATCCCAGCAAGAGAGAGCTCTTCCTGCTGATTCTTTGTTGTCTGACTAGCATAAACATTTAAATGTATCTATATACTACAAATTATTTACATCCTATTTCTTACTACACTTAAAACTAGAATTACATTTTTCTATAACTCAAAAGATTTATTATAGTTTTATTCATAATGAGAAGTCAGTAAGTTTGCTGAATGAATACAGGTGAACAGCAAATGTAAAAATTTATATAAAACAATGAAAGCTGCTTGAATAAGAACTTCAACATTTTAAATACTAGAGTCAAATATAACTTTTCTATCTCTTACACATCCCTCCTCCCTCCCATGTTACTGAGGATTGAGCCCAGGGCCTTTGCACTGAGCTACCCATCCCCCACCCCTTTCTTAAAATCTTAAAACAGGGTCTCACTAATTTGTCCAAGCTGGGCTTTCCCTTGATCCTTCTGCCCCAGAGTGCTGGGACTACTGGCATGTGCTACCACACCTGGCCTCTTTTCATCCTTATACTCAATTAACATACTACTAGTCTTCCTGAAAGGTCATCAAAAGTTAAAAAAACAAAACAAAACAAGAATTTTGCATTTCCAATTATATAAAAGTAGAAGCCCCACAACTCTAGGATCTCCCTATGCTTTACCTTGTTTGTGTGACAGAGTTACTGTCCTCACCACAGTCCGAACATTCTCTTTTTCCGGACCTGGAACAGGCTGAGGTTGGAGTAGCAGACTGGAAACGCTTGAAGAACCTTCTGAATAAGACAAGTCAAAAACAACAAATGATTTGTGAAAAATAAAGCTATCACAAGGTAAGAAATTTTGATGCTTAGCCAGTTAAGTCCAATACAGATTGCTCTGTCACTATAAGCCAATCAACCTTTCTGTATGTATTTGCCTACAATGAAATGGTGTAATGGCTGGGGTAGCCTTGGGCATAATATGAAAACAAAATATAAAACTGAGCCAAGCGTGGTGATGCACACTGTAATCCCAATACCAGGACCCTGAAAGGCTGAAGAGAGGAGGATCTTAAGTGTGAGTCCTGCCTGGGCAATTTAGTGAGACCCTGTCTCAAAATAAAAATTAAAAAGGGGGTTGGGGATGTACCTCAGTGCAAAGGCCTGAGGTTCAATTTCTAGGACTGGGAGAAAAAAAAAGGCTAACGTTATTCTAGAGTCAACCTCAGAAGCATTATTAGCCATCAGGTTTGTCAATCCAAACTTTTCTATCTAAATTTAATCATCTATAAAATCTTAATTCCAAGGTTCCAACATAGGAAGCTTTAAGAAGAGTTCTATTTGTTTCTTTTTATTTTTTTTGGTACCGGGGATCAAACTCAGGTCCTTGCGCTTGTGAGGTAGATGGCGGAACCACTGAGCTAAATTCCTGGCCCCTTTAAGAAGAGTTCTCAGTTCCACCTCACACCAGAAAGAATGGCTGCTATCATGAAATCAACCAATAACAAACGCTGGCAGGGTTGTGGGGAGAAAGGAACCCTTCTCCACTATTGGTGGGAGTGCAGACTGGTGCAACCTCTGGAAATCAGTATGGAGATACCTCAAAGAACTAGGACTAGGGCCGGGGATTTAGCTCAGTGGTTCCAGCACCTGCTGCGCAAGCCCAAGGTTCCAAGTTCAATTCCTGGTACCAAAAAAAAAAAAAACCCTAGGACTAGAGGTCCCATTTGACCCAGCTATTCCCCTGCTGGGTATCTTCCCAAAAGACTTAAAAGAATCATACCACAGCAATATATGTGCACCCATGTTTATAGCGGCACAGTTTGTAATTGCTAAAACTTGGAAACAGCCCAAATGCCCATCAACTGGAGACTGGATAAAGAAGATGTGGTTTTTGTGTAAAATGGAGTACTACTACTCAGCTATAAAGAACGAGAAACTAGAGACATTTATAGCTAAATGGATGCACATTGAGGCCATACTCTTAAGTGAAATAAATATGACAAATGTGTAAAATACCGAATAGTTTCTCTGGTGTGAAAAACTAAAAGTGTAAATAAGGATCAAAATGTCTAACTGATAATGTGAAATAGGAAGAAAGGGTCTAAAGGAGTAGGGGAAGTGGGAGGGGTAGGGGAAAGGAAATAAGGGAAAAGAGAAAAATATGAGAAAAGGAAAAAAATGGAAACAAAGTCTTTGTAAATAGGGAAGGGTGGAGAGGGTGAAGGGATGACAGGGGGATAGGAAAAAAAATAAGAACCAAGATACATCATGTAAAGGTACAAGATCCCAATGATGAATGTAACTGTATTGTATACCTAAAATGTACGCATAAACTTAATGGGAAAAAAAAAAAGTTCTCAGAATCAACTATTTGTTTTTCTCCATAGAATACATTTCACACCTGATCTATAATTTTTTTTTTGGTGCTGGGCATCGAACTTGGGACCTTGCCCTTGCAAAGCAGGCAGCAGAACCACTGAGCTAAATCCCTGACCCCTGATCTATAATTTTTAGAGTGGAAATATAAACCAGCTAGAGGTTGAGGCAAGCCTCAGAAGAAAGTCCTAGTAACTTTTGGAAGAATTCTTCTATCACAAAATGAAGTTTTTGCCTAGTATCGTTCTTAATGGTATTTTTCATATTTCCTAAGATATATAGGTTCTTTTAGGTTATTGTAACTACCTATGAACAGTTAAGGACTGAAACACAGTGACAATTATGTCAATGTTTTACTTCAACTCAAAGAAATCAAAATCTATTTGCTCATTTTGGCTGTTGCTTCCACAAGTGTGCTTATTCTTCTAACATACAACCAGCCCTGGCAAAACCTGTAATGACTTACCACCTTGCTTCTTGGATTTTTCCTTCATTTTCTTTGATTTAATTTCCTCAAGAGTTTTTATTCCAAAATTTAAACTTTCACCTGAGAAGCCCAAATAGAAATCACATAAGAAACTAAACACTTTTTCACCTTTGCTTTTTAAATGTTTATAGCAAGCATTCAACTATTTTTTGAATGAAAGATTAAGAAAATGTACATGTAAGTATATACATGTAACACAGGGGAGGGAAGAGGAAGCTCAGTGACTCTGAACTGAACTTCAAATGTAGTTAAAGTAGTGAGAACGTAATCAGTGGTGTTTAAGATTTAGCCATAATACAACCTCTTCTTACCTTGCTTTAAACTGACTCCGGGTTTCCGTGCAGGAGCCACTCGTAATCCATTGTGGACTTCAGGAGTTGGTTGTAGAGTAGGGGTTTTAGTTTCATCACCCTCCTCAGAAAATTGGTCTGTGTATCAACATGCAAGACAAATTTACAATTAAAAACAGGCCTATAGCTTTAATACTGATTCTGTCCAACTCACTACATGACCTTGTTTACTTGCGTTAAAGAAAGCCTAGCTAGGTATGGTAGCACACACCTGCAATCCCAGCTACTTGGGAGGCTAAGGCAGGAGGATCACAAGTTTGAGGCCAGCCTGGGCATCTTAGCAAGATTCTGTCTCAAAATAAAAAGAGCTGGGGGGCCGGGGATTTAGCTCAGTGGTGCCACCACCTGCCTTGCAAGCACAAGGTCCTCAGTTCGATCCCCGGTACCAAAAAAAAAAAAAAAGATCTGGGAATACAGCAAGATCCCATCTCACACAGAAAGAGGTGGGGGCAGAGAACCTGACTAACATGCAAGAGGCCCTGGATTCCATCCTCAATACAGCAAAAAGAAAAAAGAAAAGAGCTGAAACTTACCATCATCATCTTCATCATCATCTGCAGCATTGATTACAACTGGTGGATGTGTGGGACTGGGAACATTTTCGGAACTTTCTACTTTCATAACGCTCCGCAGCTGAGGGGAGGGATTAGACTGGACAGATAGTTTGTTCTGTTGAGCCGTGAGCTGGCTGGCCTTTACTTCTTCTTCTTGCGACTCAAGCACAGTGGGCAATACGGCTAAATACACAAAACCAGTCATAAATTAATAAAGAACATACAATTCCAATTCAACAAAAATCTCTGGCCCTTTACGGTAAGTTTGGTACATTTTCCCTATAAGCATTTGTATCTTTTTACCTAATTTTTCCATTTAGTTTCTAAACTCGCAGGGAACTAAAAATGTGCTTTTTAGTCAGTAACTCTTCACTGTATGGAAACACAATGGCAATCAACACAGAATAAACAGAATGCTAGATGCATACTAGTTGTTCTCAAGTTTAAGCATTTAATTTTAAAACTGAGATTCCACACTTTTTTATCAGCAAAGAAACAGCTTTTAAGAGACAGAAGATAAGTCAGATGTGGTGGTATGCACCTATAATCTCTACTCCTTGGGAGGCTAAGGCAGGAGGATCACCCATTTAAGGCCAGTCAGGGCAACTCAGTGAGACTTTGTTTCAAAATTAAATTTTTTAAAAAAGTAAGGTAGGCTGGGTGTGGTGGCACATGGCTATAATTCCAGCGCTCGGGAGGCTGAGGCAGAAGAATCACTGTGAATTCAAGGCCAGCCTGGGTAATAGTGAGCTCAAGACCAGTCTAAACTACATAGCAAGACCCTGTCTTAGAGGAAAAAAAAAAAAAAGAGCTGGGTTATCAACCCCTTCACTTAATCATACAACAGGTGTAGCCCAGTGGTACAGAGTCCAATTCCTAGCAAGGGTGGGGGCGAGGGTAGAGGAATGAATGATAATATTTATTTGAACAAACCAGAAAAGTGAGCCTACTTTCTGTCCTTAAATAAAAGTGAAAAGACATAGCCAACAAATTTTAATCATACAGCTATATAGCTTTTTATTTATTTATCTTTGTAATGCTGAGGATTAAACCCAGGGCCTCATGCATGTCAAGCAAATATTATACCCCCATGCCCAGATAATGACTTTTTAGTGGCCAATAATGCCACTAGGGAAATTACATTAAAGGACACCCTGGAAATAAATACCAGCTTTCTATAGGGTATGTTACTTTAGATGACAGCCTAAAGGGTTAGGGTTATTAGTATTTTCTGTGCTGAGCCAGGCAATTACTATGTTAGGCCTTCTGGGCCATGCGGTCTCTGTCTCAACTACATGTTCTTCAATAGTAGCAGAAAACTAGCCATAAAAAAATATGTAAATAAATGAACAAGGCTACATTCCAATCTTTATTTTGCAAAATAGGCAGAGGACCAGATCTGCCAAACCATGGTCTAGAGCAGCAATGGTGAACCTTTTAGAGCTTTCAATAATACCAAGAGCCCATTGCGGCATGCTTGCCATAGGTTCACCACCACTGGCTGGAGAATCAAATTACATTTGAAAACTTTATTGGTCTGATAAGAAAAAAGGAAATGAAACTAGCTATAGCAATCTAATCTGGCACGCCAAGCAAAGTTTGGTTCTGTGAGTGGATACAAATCATTTAACCTTAATAAGGTTCTATTAAGTGGAAGTATTACTGCTCAGTCAGTAGGCTGAAAGAAGGCAATGTATGTGAAGTATTTTGTACAGTGTGCATAATAGGTGTCTACTTAACAGGAACTATTCTTTTAAAATTAAAAACTGATCTCACTTTTGCTTGGAGGTAGGAATAGGCCATCAACATAGCGTCCTCTGTTGTGATGGAAAGCACAGTTTAGTTTTTGACATCCCATTGGCTGATTTTCCCAGTAACATGGAATTTCACTGCGTTTTTTCTGTAAGAGGAAAAAAAAATTTTTCAATTAAAAAATGAAGTAAGACCTGCTGTTTTTCTGGACCAAGTTCATACAGGGTTCAAAATCTGAGGCATGTGACATGATTTTTTTGCAGTAAGAGGGGCTCCTGAGAGTGACAGCACTTTAGGCATGGTGCAGAGGTAAAAGGAGCAGTGGGGTAGTTTAACTGCTATTCCTTCCTCCTTGGGCTCATCCTAAAACCCAAATGTCTACGCTTAATTTAGAGAAACAGGATATAGAAGTTAAAATTATGGAATCAGATGCCCACCAGACGTCAGCTCAGCCGCAACAACTGCCCCACCCCCTTCCACCCCCTGCCTCTGGCCTCTTGGCTGTGCAGCTACTTGGATCCACACTACAGAGGCAAAGGGGGGCATAAAGGCCCATTGTCCTGAGCTCCAGAAGATACAGCAGAAGTGAACAACAGAAAGAGGGCCTCTCTCAGGCTCCCTGATGAAAACTGAAGCCCACTGGAAAAGTGATGGGAATCTCTGCAATAAAGGCACACCAGACCACTGTGCTTGTAAGCTGGAGGGATCATCACCTCCCATCGGAACCTGGACTATCTTCAGGGGAAGGGCAACTGGAACTTACACTAGAACCTTGCAGAGTTCAACCCTGCAGGAGGACAGGGAGCTCAACTTGGGACTTGCAGCCAGAAATCTGCCTGAATTTCACGGATCTGTGACTGGCTTACTGAGACTCATTGACTTGTATCTGCACACGGCTGCCCACATTGTCTATTGCGACAGCAGAGACATACCCTGAAGGAGGCCCTTCATTTTTATCTTTTATTTGTTATTTTCAAAACTACAACTATTTTTTTTTTTGTTCTCACTTTTTTTTTCTTCTTTGCTACTCTTTTCAAATTTTTATTTTTCTCTTTTTTCTTTCTTTTCTCTGCCTCACTCCCTTGCTGTCCCATATTGTTCTTCATCTCCCTTTGTGTTCCTGTTCTGGCCCTAATTCATATTTCTTCTTTATCTTTCTTTTCTTCTCTTTCCTTCTCTTGCCTTGTGCCCTCTGGCCTTGCTGCTAACCTTCCCCTATCCTTCTACTTACCTATTCCTCCCTCCCCAACTCCTATCTCCCCATCCCGAAGGGTAAAGTTCCTATATTGAAGAGTTTATTCACTATAAACATACGTTGGGTTGGTCCTTGATTTTGATTTAATTCACACAGTTAAAGATGATGGATTAATAACTACCACAAATTGTCATTTTCTAAAAGGTACTTGATGCTATTGTATTGCTGATTGTATCACTTGGGCTAAGGTGTTGTGATTGATCTAATCAGTTGTCCTTCCTAGTATAATGAAAATGAGACAGCCTCAGTGCCATTAGAGACTCAAAACCTAAAGACCAGCTATATCTGGAAGACACCTCTGAGAAGCAATCACTCCATAAGTATTCTAAATACATCAACAAAGATACTTACAATAAACAACTTCAAAATATCAACCCAGGAACTAAACCAAGGACAGTACCAAAAACAAAAATGAGAAGACATTTAAGTAAGGCACAAACTCAGACTTCCACCCCACAATAGGCAAATTCAGGGTGAAACGAGGTGGAAAAGTCTGATAATCAACCACCTGGACAACCTGAACTGACAGCACAGGAAGTAACAAAACAGATGAATGAGGCTCTAGAAAAATTCAAAACAGAAATCATCTCCCAGATAACTACAGAGATGGAGAGCAGAGTGAAAGACATGATTAGAGGCTCTAGAACAGAAACAGATAAAAAAACAGATGAGCTCAGAAACATGCTGGAAGCCACGAATGCCCAGCATAAGAAAGAAATGGAAACCATGATCGCCCAACATAAGAAAGAAATGGAATCCATGAAACAGATTCAAACATATTCAGGAAATTAAAAACTCCATTGAAAGCATGCAGAGCAGATTAAGGGAATTTGAAGATAGAATATCAGATATAGAAGACAGGATTGCAGTTAAGGACCAGGAAAACAGAGATATCTTCAAAATAGTAAGGGACCACAAGAAATCAATCTAGCAGCTGCTAGATGATGCAAAGAAGAATAACATAAGACTAATTAGGGTCCACGAAAAAACAGGAAAAGTACAATTGACATAAAAAAACAGAGGAGGAGAATTGGACATACAGATAAATGAGGCATATAGAACTCCAACTAGCCATGATCAAAAATATCTACACATAGACATATAATAGTCAAGATCTCAGAAACCCAACAGAAGAACAAAACCCTGCAGGCAGTTAAGAGAAAAGAAACAAATCACGTATAAAGGAAAGCCCATCAGAATCACAGCAGACTTCTCAACACAAACCCTCAAATCAAGGAGAACCTGGAGTGAAGTATTTCAAGCCCTAAAAGAAAATAACTTCCAACCTAGACTGTTGTATCTTACAAAATTATCTTTCAAAATCAATGGGGAAGGGCTGGGGATTTAGCTCACTGGTTTTGCTGCTTGATGCGCAAGTGCAAGGACCCCAGTTTGATCCCCAGTACCAAAAAAAAAAATCAATGGGGAAATTAGATACTTCCACAACAAAGAACACCTGAGAAATTTCATGAACACCAAACCAGCACTCTAAACAATTCCAAGCAATATCCTAAAAAAAAGATAATGAAGGTCACAACTCCATGAGGCCCAACAGAGGGAAGCCACCAGGTAAGGTAAGAAGCTAAAGGGAGGGCTGGGGATTTAGCCCAGTGGTTTCGCAGTCTGCTGCGCAAGTGCAAGGACCCAAGTTCGATCCCTGGTACCAAAAAAAAAAAAGAAGCTAAAGGGAAAGGGGGAAAAAAATAAATAAAAGAGCCAACAATAGCAACATATCATGATAAGGATGAATCAATATCTATCAATTATAACCATCAATGTTAATGGCCTCAATTCACCAATCAAAAGAAATAGAATGAATTAAGAAGCAAAACCCAGCAATATGCTGTACACAAGAAACACACCTAACTCAAAAAGAAATTCATAGACAGAAAGTAAAAGGATGGAAAACAGCTCTCCACACTACAGGAACCCAGAAAAAAGCAGGGGTAGCAATCTTATTTGCAGACAAAGTAGATTTCAAGCCAAAACTAATTAAGAGAGACAAAGATGGTTGCTACATCCTTGTGAAGGGAACAATCCAAGAGGAAGAGATGACAACCCTAAATATATATGCACTAAATACGAATGTCCCCAACTATACAAAACAAATATTAATGGACATAAAAAACCAAATAAGCACTAATACAATTGTAGTGGGGGACCTCAATACCCTATCACAAATAGACAGATCATCTAGACAAAAAATCAACAACGAAGTTTTAGAACTGAACCAAGCTATTGAACAAATGGGACTTAATAGGTATTTACAGAGTGTTCCACCCCACAAAATCAGAATACACATTCTTTTCAGCTGCACAAGGGTCATTCTCCAAAACAGACCACATGCTAGCTCATAGGAGATGTCTAAGTAAATGTAAAAGAACTGAAGTTACCCCTGTATATTATCAGACCACAGTGCAATAAAACTGGAGATCAATAACATAAG